AAGTTGCAGACATATGACTTACTCCCGAACAGTTCAGTGTGCACCTAATAACAATGTTCTCCCATAAAACCACAATCCCACAATCACACAAGAAATGAGCATTAAGAGGCCGTCTTTAAGGGAAAAATTGGCCACCAGGGCTCTGCCGAGTCTGGCCAACCACACACGCTGCCTGCCCGTGGCCCATCCAGGGCCTCCCTGGAGGGGCCGCCCTGAGCCCGCGGGTTGGGCAATCAGTCCGGGAGCTGGAAGGCGTATCCGGACGCAGACACATGCTTGAGGCCAGCGAGCCTCCCAACGAGACCACAACTGGAAAGCCCAAGTGGCTGGAGCTGGGAGCTCCGGGCCCATCCCAGGTGAGGAGATGACCTTGGCTGCCCCTTTCCACCAGCTGTTTGTCAGATTTTCTGGGAAAACTCGCTTCCTAATTCCTTCTCTCACTCTCTTCCTCCCACAAGACATCTTCAGTTCTCCACCTGAAAAGGTGTCAACAACGTCCTCCTCCCATGGAGGCTCCCCAGGCGGCCGGGAACTAGGACAGGAGCGTGTCTGCAGGAGGAGGGCACAGAGAAGGAACAGAGGGACCTCGAGGCAGCGCCAGGCCCTCTGCACATCTGTGCAATATGCTCCCGGTCTGTCTGGAAGGGAACGGGTGACGGGACTGGGCAAGGTGAGAAGTGGAGCCCCCACAGAGGCGGAGCTATTGCTACCGGTGCCCAGCGTCCCATCCTGAGTCCCTAAGAAAGAACAAAGGAGGGGGAAGCAGCCACGGAGAAGAGGAAAGGACGGATGAGGGAGAGGAACAGAGAATGGAAAGCCAGCAAACCAACAGGCTGTCAGGATCGGGTCCAGGATCGTGAACTGAAGGGTAAAGACTGGTTCCCGGCTCACTCTGCGCTCAAGCCCCAGCCTGGCACTGGCTGTTCCAGAACGTGGCCGTGGGCTATGTGGCCCTCTGTAAGGTGGGTGGCAGCAGTAACGGAACCTGCACCTCGTGTGGCCCTCAGGAGTCACAAAGCAATGTGTGCCAGGCGCCCAGCTCAGCGCCCGCACGTGGCACATGCTCAGTGACCGTTAGGGTGAGAGTTCCGCAGACGCCGTAAAGTGTCCTGCCGAGGTCTGTTATCATTAGCGAAGGCCAGGAGGCCACAGCCCAGGGAAGGGCTGGGGTGAGAGTGACGCTGGGAGGAAGTTCTTTCAACAGCCTCCAGCTGGAGGACCACACGCCTCAGGCATAAATGGAGGCAGAGGGCTGCTCAGCCATCAGCGGTGACTCTGGCCTTCCATCAGCCCCTCAGTGAAGGGCCAACCAGCCTCCCCAGTGCATGGGCATCGCCGGAAGCTGGAAGGAAGACCTCAAACCCGCAGTGGGAGGGGGGCTATGGCCACCAGAAGCCCCAGCCTCTCCACACTGAGCCGTGGCTGTCCAGGCAACAGACCCCTGAGCACAATAGAAAGGGCACCTGCTCAGAACCAGACACCAGGTTAGAAGCCCAGCTCTGCCCCTCCCCCGCACACAGCCCAAGAGAAGCCCAGGCGCTGACTCAGAGCCCCCTGCCCGGACACATGGCTCCGGGCGCCTCTGCACAGCCAGCAGCTGGGTGCCCTGACCCCGGCCCAACAGAGGCACCACAGACGGGCCAGCCCCACATCCAGACTTTCCATGGAAACAGGGAGGCTCCACAGCCCCAAATGCCCCAGGCAATCTCCCCTCCCCCCCAGTACCCCTCCAAGGACAATGAGGCACTGTTTTCCAGAGGGTCAAGACTGCTGAGAAGCTGCAGGAAGACATGTCCAGATTCCAGAGGCAACTGGGCATTGCCAACAGCTGGCTGCTCCGGGAGAGGGGCAGGCCAAGCCATGGGGCCTCTGCCACAGAGGCATGTCCCGGGGTGGCCTCCAGCAGAACTTTTAAACGTAACTAGTGCCACTCAGCTGGCCCCGGTCAGTCACAGATCACACCTATGGCCTTACTGGCATCAGAATGACCAGATTACCCAGCCCTCAGTGGTTGAGAGTCAGGAGGTCGAGATTTGATTCCCGTAGAGGGGTATACAGGAGGAAGCTGATCGACGATTCTCTCTCATCATTGATGCCTCTCTCTCTCTCTCCCTTCCTCTCTGAGAAAATAAATAAAATAAGATAAAATGGCCAGATCCAGAACTGGATCAGTCCAGGCTCCAATCCCCGCCCCCCCAGAGGACTTCCCCAGAGCTGGGTTTCCACGTATGCACGCACAGATAACACCCACCTCCGGAAAGGCCGAGAGGAACCTCAGAGGCCGAGCCCGTGCCTGTCTCCACCGAGCAGGAGTGATCCTTAGTGACCGCAACTGTGGTCACACCCCCTCCCTCCCACATGGGGAAAGCAAGGAGTCAGGTCAGACAGCGCAATCAGAGGCTCCGAGCTCTCAGCGCTGGGGAACTCTGTCCAGGAAACGCCGGCCAGAGAACAGGGCAACTCCCGGCCAAACCAGCATCTAAGCAGTAATGAGGAAAGCCACCGGCAGCCACCGCACCGCACAGCGAGGGCACTCACAGGGAAAGCTGTGTTTATGTTTTCCTGCCCGAAGAGCGATAAATTGGTAACTTATTAAATAGCACATGGCCAGTCCGTCACCACAGCTATGGGGAGGGGAGAGTGCCCCAGTTTAAGACCAAAAGCAAAGTCCCAGCCCAGACCCCTGCCCCTAAGCCACGTCACAGGACAGACCCCAAGCTCTCCCCGTTCGGGGTGGGGGCGGCCAGGAGGCTCACAGCTGAGGGCAGGCTCAGGAGGAAAATAACAGCGAGGCCTGGTCCCCCGGCTGCCCGAACTAAGGAAACAGCTGACGGGCAGGGCTGAGCAGTCAGCCAGACAGCTGACAGCCAGAGCCCAGAGGCAAATTCCTCTCCCCTCCTGCTCGCCCTGGGCGGCCCCTGGGAGCTTAGGCCAAGGAAGCTGGGCAGCCAGGATCCAAACTGGGAGCTGGGGTGGACAGCAGAAGCTACAGGTGGCAGCCATCACCCCGCCACGACCTCCCTCCCCCACACTCACCCCCCTAGGGAGGACAGAGCTGCAGGTCTGGGCGCTGGGGCTGGGCTCTCGTCCTGGCTCTGTCCATCTGTCCCTCCAGCGGCTGTGCAGCCTTGGGCAAGTGGCTCCACCTCTCTTAGTTCCCTCAATTAGAGAAAGGCAGGGAGTGGTGACAGAGGGGCCCTGGGGCTCTGTGCAAAAGGCTGCTGGGAGGGCAGGACAGCTGAGGCCGGGAGGACTCCACGCACAGCACGTTTAAACCCTTCCCCTGGCCGGGCACCCTTTCCTCTCCGAGACCACCCCGCGTCGGGCCTCCATGGAGGACTCAGGAGACAGGGGCTGCGGACTTTGACCGCAGACTCTCCAAGGCGGACTCCGTCCTCGAAACAGCGGGGAAGAGCAGAAGCAGAGCCACATCAGCACGTTAGGACTCTGACTGCTCCCGTCCCGGGGAAAGCCTGGTCAGAAAAATATCCCCAGCCTCCTCTAAAGCTTCCTTACTTTTATGTGAAAAAAAATACCTGCCTGGAGGCCATGCCAACCTTGTGTGTGGGGAAAATGGGTGCCAAGTCTGACCCAAGGGCAGAACTATGCTTGGCAGCCAGCACCCGCTGCTCAACAGGCAGGACTGGACACCATCCCCAGCGCCGGGATGGGGGGGGGGGGGGGTGACCCCAAAGGAAGCTGCCAGGAAGTAGTAAGGTCCCGGTCCTCCTCCCTGTGCCCTTGAAGTCCCGTGCCTGCACACAGCCAGTCTTGGTGCCCTGTGCACTGGGGGCCGTCACTTAGGGGGGATGAATCTGCTCCTCCCAGCCTGGGACAGAGGAAGCAGCAATGGCCATACAAGGCACCCATAGTCCAGAGCGGGAAGACAAGGCCCCTACAGAGAGAAACTTTCCCCTCGGCACCTCCCGGCCCAGAGGCCCTCCAGCCTCTGCGTGAAGGGGAGGGAGCGGGAAGCCTCCCACCCCGGGGTGCTCCCACTCCGGGCATTCCTGGAGCCCTGGCACCAGCCCCTTGGGCCGAGTGTCTGCTTCCAGGAGACACTTTCTCCCGCTTCACAGGAGTGAGGAGAGGAGCGCGGGAGCTCCATTAACAGGAGAACAGTGCGACTCTGTCCGGCGCCCTGTCCTCCTTTCCCGTGTGGCTCCCAGCAGGTTTGCGGCCAGGCGGCGGGACCCTGCCAGCCGGGACAGGTTCAAAGCTGGCCACGCCTGGAGGCCCACTTCCCCCCTTTCCCTGGCCTCTCACGCCGACTCAGTCTCCCCAGTTTACCCTTCCAGGATGAGGCTGGTGTCTGATATGCCGGTAAAGGGGCCGGCTGGGACCCACAGGAGTGCCCGGCCCATGAGACGGGGTGGCCAGACCTGAAGTGGGGGTCAGGGGGACGCATGGGAAACTTGTCTTTGTGGGGGGAGGCTCATCTCTAACTTGGGGGTCTGACATGAAAGGGCTGGGCTGGGAGAGGCTGCCCCGGAAGGGGGAGCAGTCCTGGGGTGGGGAGCACGCCCCGGAACGGAGGGACCGGCTTGTGGGGTCCGGCAGCTGTCCCCCGAGTTGGGCGGTGGGTCTGGGCGGTGGGGGTGGGGGAGCAGTCTGTGAGGCGGGGGTCCCCTCGCTGGGGAGACGGTCTGACCCCGGCAGGGAGGGTCCTGCCCCTGGAGCGGCCGGTCGGGGCGGATTCCTGAGGCGCAGGCTGGCCTCTGGGGCCGGGCCGGGAGGTGCGGGTGGGTCCCCGAGGGCCGGGCCGGGAGGTGGGGTCGTCCCCGAGGCGGGGGTGGCGGCTGTGAGGCCGGCGAGGCGCGGGCCGGCCTGGTCGGGGCTCAGGCCCGGCCCGGGATCCCCGCCCGCGGAGCGCCGGCCGGCAGGGACCCGCGGGGATCGGCCACCGGGGTGGGATCCCGGGGCCGCCGCTCGCTCGCGCCCGCCCGCCCGCCCCGGGCCGCGCGCCCTCCGCCGCCTCCGCCCCGACCCCGCTCACTCACCCAGGTCGTCCATGGCGGGGCCGCGAGCGCCGGGAACCGGCCGGACGTCCCGCTCGCTGCTGTCCGGGGCCGCCGCTCTCCGCCCGCAACTTTTCCGCCGGAGCCTCGGCCGGAACGGAACGCGCCGCCGCCGCCGCGCGCGCCCGCGCCCGGCCGTCCCCGCGGACACGCGCGCCCCGCCCCCGCGCGCCCCTGGCCCCGCCCCGAGCACCCCGGCCCCGCCCCCTCCGGGACCGCGGCGCGCGCCTCGCCGGATGGTGGGCGGCGCTGGGCGGGGCGGCGGCGCCCCCTCGCGGCCCAGGCGGCAGGTGGGTGGTGCCCAGGCCTTCGGGCCCTCCTGTCCGACTTTCTGTCTGTCTCCAAGTCACATGCCCCTCGCCTGTCTTGCTATCTCAGTCTGATCTGTGTCTGTCCGTCCACCAGACACTCATCGCACGCCTGTCCGGGAGAGTCAGGTTGGTCTGTCTTTCTCCCCGTAGGTCCCCTCCCAGGGAGCCCTAAACCCGCACCAGGCAAGGGAGCGGGGCCTTCGGAGGACCCTTCCTGGGGCTGCCCTCTGGGCCCCTGACATGTAACCGGAAGCCCAGCCTGTGGGGCAGACTCAGTACCTCCCAGGTTCTGTATCTCAGTCTCCCACATGTCCCCTCTCCCAGAGGGAGACTTCTGAATCTGCGTGGAGCAGGAGGGACCCCACCTTAGACACGAAAAGAAAAACTACAAAGAGGTTTCACCCAGGGCCGGGCACAGTGTCTGGAACACCCCACTGCCACCCCAGAGGGCTCTCTCCCACAGACTCAGAAATCAAGTAATAATAACAACTACCATTTACTAAGTGACAGATACTACATGGCTATTATCTAAATTAATTCTCATAAAGGTGGTTATTACTACCAGCCCTTCCCCACATTTTGGCACTGAGCAACTGGGGCTTGCACCACCAGAGGGTGCAAGCGGGGTGGGCACCATCAGTGGGTGCGAACCAAAGCTGCCGGCCCCGATCACCCCTCAGGAGCAGGGGGAGGTGGAGAAGCCCTCAGGGGCGATCAGGGCTGGCAGCTGCCGCTTGCACCTGCTGATGGCACCAGGTGGGACCACAGTGCAGGCAGCAAAAAATTTTCAGTAACCACCAGAGGTTCGCCCGATGATGAGGGTGACTGGCATCCTGCCTTGGTCTGGCGCCCCTGCTCACCTGCTCCACCATCCCACTGCGCGCACCCCCTGGTGGTCAACACATGTCATAGCAACCAGTTGTTCAGTTGTTCCGCCATTTGATCTATTTGCATATTAGAGTTTTATAGAGAGAGAGACTAGAGGCCTGGTGCACGAAATTCGTGCATGGGGGCAGGGGGGCGGGTGTCCCTCCGCCCAGCCTGCATCCTCTCCAATCTGGGACCCCTCGAGGGATGTCCAACTGCCCAGGCAATCGGACATCCCTCTCACTATCCAGGACTACTGGCTCCCAACTGCTTGCCTGCCTGCCTTCCTGATTGCCCCAAACCGCTTCTGCCTCCCAGCCTGATCACCCCCTAACTACTCCCATGCCAGCTTGATTAATGTCTAACTGCTCCCCTACCGGCCTGTTTGCCCCCAACTTCCCTCCTCTGCCGTCCTGATCATCCCTAACTGCCTTCCCCTGCAGGGTTGATCACCTCCAACTGCCCTTCTTTGCAGGCCTAGTGCCTCCCAACTGCCTTCCCCTGCTGGCCATCTTGTGGTGGCCATCTTGTGTCCACATAGGGACAGGATCTTTGACCACATGGGGGCAGCCATCTTGTGTGTTGGAGTGATGGTCAATCTGCATATTACTCTTTTATTAGATAGGATACTCTGCAGCCCTAGCCAGTTTGGCTCAGTGGATAGACCATCAGCCTTGCAGACTGAAGGGTCCAGGGTTCCATCCCGGTCAAGGGCACATACCTCAGTTGCAGGCTCCTCCCCAGCCCAAGCCCTAGTCAAGGCTCATGCAGGAGGCAACCAATCCATGTGTTTCTCTCACATTATGTTTCTCTCTGTCTTTCCCTCTCCTTCCCACCCTCTAAAAATCACTGGAAAAATATCCTCAGGTGAGGATTTAAATATATAGTCTGCAAACACAGCTTCCAGCTCTTCTTCCCCCAGGAATCCAGCCCCCAAGGCCCTCTGTGTCAGGCCAGCCCTCCAGGAAGTAGATGCTGAGAGAGTTGCCTGTGAATGAGAAAAGGGAAGAAGCACGACAGGGTAACGAGAGACTCAGATCTGACAAATCCAGGCCAACACAACCGGGAGCTCCAGAAAACTTCATGAGAGGAGTCCCCATCGTGCAGTGTCCAGGCCCCACTTCCCACCATGTCCACCATGGGCTGGGGTGCCAGAGCAGGTGGTCTGTGTCTGGAAACTGCCATTCGTCCCGCTGGATAACAAGCTCTTTTTGGAAGGCAGAACCAAGAGGTTCACCTCTGGAGCTCCACATCCACTTACATTAAGATTCAAGAGCCCAGCCCTAGCCACTTTAGCTCAGTGGAGAGAGGGTCGGCCTGCAGACTAAAGGGTCCCAGGTTCCATTCAGTCAAGGGCATATGTCTGGGTTGCGGGCTTGATCCCCAGTAGGGAGCGTGCAGGAGGCAGCTGATCAATGAGTCACTCTCATCATTGATGTTTCTATCGCTCTCTCCCTCTCCCTTCCTCTCTGAAATCAATAAAATATATATCTATTTTTAAAAGTGTTGAATACACAGATCCACTTAGGTTCAAGTCCCAACTATGCCCCTTGCTGGTGGTAAATTTCAGGCGGTTACTCTCTATGCTTCAGTTTCCTCCTCTATGGAAAAAAGATTAATAAAAGCCACCTCTTGCCAAAACCGATTTGACTCAGTGGATAGAGCGTCGGCCTTTGGACTGAAGGGTCCCGAGTTCGATTCCAGTCAGGGGCATGTGCCTTGATTGTGGGTGCATCACTGGTGGAGGGTGTGCGGGGGGGCAGCTGATTGATGTTTCTAACTCTCTGTCCTCTCTTCCTCTCTGTAAAAAATCAATGAAATATATATATATATATTTTTTTAAAAGCCACCTCTCACATAGCAGTAAAGGAGATGCTATGCATTTAGGACTTAGGATAATCCTTGTCACTAATAAGCATTCTTGACTCATTGCTATTCACTAAAAACAAAACACAAATTACATATGTAGTAGCCACATTTATTTTTTAAAATATATTTTTATTGATTTAAGAGAGGATGGTATAGGGAGAAAGAGATAGAAATATTAATGACTGAGAGAGAATCATCAATCAGCTGCCTCCTGCATGCGTCACACTCGGGATCCGGTCTGCAACCCAGGCATCTGCCCTTGACCAGAATGGAACCAGGGACCCTTCAGTCCACAGGCCGACACTCTGTCCACTGAGCCAAACCGGCTAGGGATGTAGTAGCCACATTTTAAAAAGGGAAAAAGAAACAGGAAAGATTAATGTTCATATATTTTATCTAATTCAATATATCCTAAATAGTATCATTTGTACTTGTAACCAATATTTTTTTAAAAATCAATGAGGCCACACACTTTTTTTTTTTTTTTTTTTTTTGTACCAGGTCTTTGAAATTTGGTGTGTGTTGGACACTTATAGCACTTTCCAGTTTGACTAGCCACATTCCAAGTGTGAATTAGCCACATGTGGCTAGTGGTTACCACACTGGACAGTTTTAAATATTATCTGGCATCATTGTTTTGGGGGATTTCAACCTAAAAGCTATTTCCTCAGAAAATCATTTCCTAACCTGCTAAGCTAGTGGTCGGCAAACTCATAAGTCAACAGAGTCAAATATCAACAGTACGACGATTGAAATTTCTTTTGAGAGCCAAATTTTTTTATAATATATATATTATATATATATAATATATATTATATATATATGATTTTTTTTTTAGAGAGGAAGGGAGAGGAAGAGATAGAAACATTAATTATGAGAATCATTGATTGGCTGCCTCCTACAGGCCTCCTACTGGGGATTGAGCCCAAAACCTGGGCACCCAGACCCTTCAGTCCGCAGGCCAACGGTCTATCCACTGAGCCAAACCAGCTAGGGCATTCTTCTACTAGACTGTAGACTTCAGAAAGGCAAAGGCCATATCTGTCTTATTCACTGTTCTACCCCAGTGCCTGGCATAGGACACAGCACATAGCAGCTGCTCAATAAAAATATGCTATGTGAATCACATTTATTAAGTACTACCTAATGAATTAAGGTTAGGGCTGCATTAATTGATGCTGGAAAGAAAGAGGGGATTAAGAAAAGAAAAAGGATTTAGAGTCGGGACTGGTTTGGCTCAGTGGATAGAGCGTCGGACTGCTGACTGGGGGGTCCCGGGTTCGATTCCGATCAAAGGCATGTACCTTGGTTGCGGGCACATCCCCAGTGGGGGGTGTGCAAGAGGCAGCTGATCGATGATTCTCTCTCATCGATGTTTCTAATTCTCTATCCCTCTCTTTTCCTCTCTGTGAAAAATCAATAAAATATATATTAAAAAAAAGAAAAGAAAAGAAAAAGGATTTAGAGTAATAAATCCCAGATCTTAGAATATAGATATAGAAATGTTCTTTACAAAAACAACAATTGGTCCTTGTAGAAAGATAATTAGAAAGGAGAGAAAAAGAAGATAAACTCAGAGATAAAAGTCCACAATCCAAAAACCTGAATGCTCAGTTGTACAGTCTTTTAGACCATGGTGTTGCACACATACACACACATATAAGTATCTATATCACATATACAAAATGTTTAAATGTGCATTTTTATATTTATGTACACTGCTTTGAAAACTGTTATTTTTCTCTTTTTTTATTGTCTAAAGTTTTACATATGTCTTCTTTTTCCCCAAATTGACCTCTCCCCCTTTCCCCCCAGCCATTCCCACCCCGGGCAAGCCCCCACCCCCCCAGTGTCTATGTCCACTGGTTATGCTAATGTGCAGGCATACAAGTCCTTGGGTTGCTCTGTAACCACCCCCACTTCCCCTGCCATTTGTCTCTAGATCTATTTGAAAACTGTTCTTTTTCACTTAACACTACCTTGTAAGCTACTTTTCATGGCATTCAATATTTTCCTAAAATATGATTTTGGGGGGCAAAATAGGGTTCCATCGTATTAATGTTCCAGTAGTTACCAGTTCCCTGGTTACATTTAGTTATTTCC